TCCCTCCCTCCTCTGCATAGGCTTACTTCCTTCTCTACACATGTTCGACTGACTTCCTCCACCTCCTTGCTCTCTTTAAGCAGCTCTGATGAACATTTGCCTGTGCAATTCAGTATCTCGCGCATCACAACACTAGTTGAAGAGCAGATTCGTGTCACATGATTGATGGCGCAGATGATTTAAAGGCATTCTTCACCATCTTGTTCCACTGACTAATCGTAGCGCGTCAGCTTGAGTTGAGTAATGTTTTCCTTTCTACATAGTTTATGAAAACGGCATCCTAAAAATAGACTCAACAGTTGTGTGCCGGGATAAAGAAGCAGCTCCACATTTAATAGATTCTGTCTGGATTTCTGCCTTCTCGTTTTGCAGTATCTCACTCAGTGTAGAGATGTCCATGAACATTAATGGGGTGCTTTACTATAGGGAGAGTCTGCATGTCCACAATCGTGCATAATCTTGACTTGAAGACCTGTGGGACCAGACTTCAGAGTATTTATTTCTCATTTCATATCCACCTTTAAAAGCAGGCAACTCCATGCCAGAAGCCCCCCCCCCCCTTTCATGTTGTTGCTGTCGACCGACAGACAAGCGGCAGTAAAATGCTAATAAATTTGACTGGGAGTGCAGCGATGCTCGGCGCTCTGATCTGAAATTCCGATTGATGAATTGGAGCACTGCAAGGCTCTCAAGGTGAGTCAGACTCCTACAAATTTATACCCCTCTTCCAAGGCAGTTCAACACCTCGCCTCATCTGTCATCGCCACTCCCATACACGTTTACACATGACATTTCATTTTCTCCTATACTTGTCATCACGGGGAGCCACGAGTGGGTTTGCTTCAGAAGCTAAAACAAAGTGGAAATTCAACAGATGAACCAAACCGCAGCTCTAGTTTAGCCTCGATACAGACACGTCATGTCATCAGTGTCAGAGGCAGCTGTGTAGCTCCACCAGGTATGGACAGACGTTGATCATTTCTATTACAGAGAGCATAGTGGTTGACCAAATAGATTTGTCTTATGAGTATAATAAAGATAAGATACGACCCTCACTCTCTGGTTTTTATTGTTCACGATACTCACGCTGGCCTCTGAGCACCCACTGCTGTCCACTCTTAGTCAAGAGTTTTGCTCAGGAGCATTCTGCCGGTGGATTTGTTTTACTCCTTGCCGTTCTACAACATAACAAAGTGCTACAACCCAGGAATTCAACGAGTTAGTCGGTCCTTTATCCAGACTGGGATTTGTTCAATACTCGCGTCGAAGCCCCATTACAACAAAGCCTGAGGCAACTCTGCGTTGAATGGTTAGGTGTGTTTAAAGTGTAACCCCCGGTGTTGTGGGTCACTGTCCGGTAGGCCTCGCAAAGAGACACCGCGCTTCAAAGTGCTCAGTCAGCACTAAAGAAAGCTCTGGTTCCAAACAGTTTCATTCTGGTATAGGTTAAATATAGGGCTTGTTTGTATTTCCTGCAGCAGTTAGAGAGGGATCTTTTGGCTAAAATAGAATATTATATAGATTGTATGTTTTCTTCACAGAGCCGGCCGCCGTCTTTCTACAGTAGCCCAGAAGGGACAAACCAAATACTGGCTCTTGATAGGGCGCTTGTCACACAGGAAAAGTTTCAGTCGATTGCAATCTATAATCTGTAACCTCAGATGTCGCCGTATCCTACACACTGCCCATTAAAATCATTCAGTGCTAAGCACAGGACGGCAGCGACGTTGCCCTTGCAAAACAGACGGCGCTGACAGTGGAAGGGGAAGAGAGTGCCAGATAAAATAGACGGGCAATGGCAGGCTCATACCCACAGCATATATCTGGTGAGCCAGACTAATGTCCGACTGACCCGTGAGCCAAACTGCTCTACTGTTCAATCCCTCAGGCCTGTGTGATAATAACTTGTGGCAATTATAAGCATACATGCAAACACACACTTGCACGACATGATTTAGTGCTAAATGGTGTTGCCTCCACCACACCCCTTTACCAGTGCAGACCAGTGAAATCAAACAGTCCACTCTCTGGAGTCCAGAGAGACGCCTGACTTCAAGCATACGGTTGATTTATCCAGGAGAACAGAAGCCTGCTCTACCCACATCCAGTGATTCATGTGATCACTTGTTGTGGTTCATTCTGAATGCTGCTCCTATACCGGCTTGTATTGTAGTCATTAAACAGGGATTATATCAAAACTTGAACGCAAGGTGAATGCAAAATAAGTGCAATTTGTTGAAAACCAGTGATGCAGGAAAACCACTAGAGTAGTGTCACAGTGACCAATTAACACACAGCCTCTTAGATCTGAAATCCATTTTTGACTGAATTAATTATAAGAGGCTGAGTCACACTACTGATGACATGGTAATACATTAATTATAAAGATCAATGTGGTTTTTAGGACGTGCCCACCTCCCACACAACTCAGTACCAATGTCAACACTGCCATCTAGTGCGCAGTAAGCAAACAGGCGTATAATGTTCAGTGCAGGGTGGAGGCTGCGGTACCAGTGTACTCACTTACTTAACAACATTAAACTCTGTTTAAACCCGATGCAGAGGCCACCTCAAGTATTGAGTCAAGTCTAAATACAGCATGGTGCACGGTCCACTGTAAGTCATGCAAAAGTAGGAACAAGAGTTTACTTTTTAATCCCCTTAAAACGTATCTATTCCTTAATTGGGCAGTAGAGTTTTGGACTGAGTCATATAGAAGAAAGTAATAACATTCACTAGAAATTACGTCTCAGCCAAAGTTCAGCCAAATGGCATCTGTCACATTTTGAGTTTACATGTGCGGCTGGTGGTGAGAAATCAGACTCTTGGCCTTTGTAAACAAAGGTCAACAAATTCTTATGTCACAAGCCAGACAAAGAAAACCGACAGGGGTCTTATTCTCTGAATCAGTAGACAGAGCTTTTCTAACTGACCACTTCTAGAAGCCAAAGGCTGGTGGAACATTTGAAGTTGGGCTCCTAAACTTTGACTCAGTCAATGACAGTAATTTGATACTTTATTTATTTCTGTGATGTCTAATTTATCTCCATAAAGGAAGTCAGAGGTCCATACATCTTCAGACTATCTGAAAATAAACACAGACCCCAGAGCCGGGTCATCAGATATGTATAGACATCTTTTTGCCCTGCAGAGACTTCTGAACATCCTATAATGGCCCCTTGTGATTCAGACTCTCCATAAATTCTGAGACCAACGGAAACGTTTTAAAATATCCTCAATGAGCCTCCTGCCATAACTTTCCACTGGTATGACTCACTGTCAGGGTTTCCACGAAAAGCCTTTATTTAAAAGAAGGACAGCGTTCTACAGAGGCAGGGATAAGCAGAAAGACGAACACAAAGTGCTCCAGTGTGCCACGTTCTTTAATCAATTGACAATGCTTTAATTGACTTAAAGGAACTGTGTTTTAGCATTTCAGGGGATTTATTGGCATATAATCATCCTAAAAATAAGAATCTTTGTGTTAACTTAGAATGAGAAGTTTATATCTATAGGTCCTCTTCATGGAGCCGGTCTCAATGTTTCTACAGGAGCCCAGAATAGACAAAACCAAACACTGGCTCTACATAGGGCCATTTGAGTTTCCACGTGTTGGCCACCATAGTTCTCCTACATTCTTGGCACACTGTTTATCAGATGGCTTAACTGAACCCGGCCACAACAAACTCAGCACGCAAACGTCAGCAGGACAACAAAGCAAAACAAGCTAATCTAAGAGCTAATCAAAGAGCAAACCACATTGTAATAATGTTGTTAAGTCACGGAGTAAGCTATAGATAGGCTATAATAAGCTATATTCTGCCTTTGTGACATGTTACCATGTGTGAGCACTCTTCTCGCATCCGTATGAACTCAATCAACATTCCCGTTTCACAAGCAGCTGTTGTGGACACACGTCTTGTTGACTAACAACACAACTCGAGATGAACAGCGGCATGTGAAATGAAAGCAGAAGACAACTGCAGATCTCATCGGGGGAATGACCCATTAATATGAAATTTGGTTTGGTTTTTGGATTAGGATCCGAATGACAACGGGAGATTCATTTGCTTCTTGCATCTGGATTGTGACTGTAACTTCATACCCATTTAGATTAGACCAATAAGGGCACACGCAGACATGCATCAGCTCTCTTCAGACACACGTGAAGAGGCTGCGTCTGCCCTTCTTGTTTGGAGTCTAGTTACAGTCTTTGAGCCAGAAGCAGACAAACGTTACGTGACCTGGAACCACAGACGAGAGGGGGCAAAATATCAACAGTGCAACGTGGCATTGAACAGCTGACTGGTTTCATCATCCAGGCTGAGTTCCTTCAAAAGGCCTTAACCCCTTGAGCCAAACAGTCTAGTTATACTGCACATTACATTTCCATATCAAATCTCCAAAATGACCTTAACACAGGACAATCCCATCAGAAACTCACTGGAATTGTAAAACATTACACAACTTTTTAGAGCTAAACAACAAGTTGATTAGTTGACTATTTGATGGAATTAAAGTTAAAGAGCAACAATTTCCTAATTGTTATAGATTTTAAAGCACAAATGCAAAACATCTGCTTGTTTAAACTTATTCAATGTGATGATTTGTCATATATATGGCTTTGGACTATGAGCTGGACAAAAGAAGCAATTTGAAGATGCCAACTTGGCCTCTGGATGATTTGTTCCTATTTTACAGTCCTATTTATATAAAACTTTCTGATCTCCAATACTTTAAGAAATGACTGTTGTTGCAAACACTACATACTAAATCAGAACTCATTAGAGAGCCACTGAAACGGTGGAGATGTAAGTTTTGAATACATAACATCAACCCCTCTCTATGGCCTTTAGGACTCTGGCCAGGTCACACAAAGCATATCACACCATCTGAAACATCTTATCAGGAAACAAAGTACATTGTGTATCGTGGTTATGTCACGAGGTCTAGTGTACTGTGTAGTTAGACTGCCAGAGACTAGAGTCCTGGGTCCTCACCTGTTTGGGGTCATCGTAGAAGACACCGACGGTGTTGAGCTTTGGCCCAATGCTGCAGCTCTCTGTGTAGGCTGCACCGCAGTCCTTGTACGATCCTTCTCTGAACTTATAAGCAATGGTAACATTTCTGACAGGAGGTGGCCCAGTCTTTATGATCACGTCACTCAGTAGTCCCGAGTATATCAGTAAGCCCCCCACTGTCACAATCAAACACACCAGCAGCACGAGTAGCAGGAGCACCAGAATTATATCAGACATGGTTTCTCTCTTCTCAAAGCGGTAACGTAAAGATGCAAAAAAAAAAAAAAAAAAGATATCTGTCAAGCCTAAAACACGTCCTCCTCCGGGTTACACACAGCGAGACTGTGGTCCGAGCAGCTTCGCACGACCAAAACAAACGTGGCTATTCGAAAGACGGTGTTGAATTTAGGATTCAGAGTCGCAATGACCTGAAATGAAACACAAAACACTCGGTCAAGTTGACAGAAAAGACGGTTTGTTTACGGTATTTCCCCAAACACAGGACACGCTTCCTGGATAGACCATTCTCGTCCATAGCAGGGGGAGACGCGAATGCGCTTTTTAAATTATTAATTTGCATGTATTAATCACACCGCCAAAATATGAAGTACATACATTATAAACATCGATCAATACATTTGATTCCTATATATCAACGAAAGCCATCGTTGGTGCGTACAGCACACACATCCATGGCAAATACATTCCCTCTTTTCTTTACCGTGGTTCAGCCCAAGAGCTGTGCAGAAGGACGATAGCGCTGTGACAAAAAGTGGTGATTTTCTTTGTTTTCATTCATATAAATTATGATTCTCGTGCTCTGTAAATGATGTAAGGGACTTATCTGAAGGATGTCGGTGCTTGTAGACAGTTGTCAGTGCTGCGTTTAGGGATTCAAACACTGAAGGTTTTGTTCAAACAGAATTGCAAAGTCCTGTTTATGTCAAGTTCTTCAAACTATGGAAATTCATTTAGGACACAATATGAAGCGAATTACAAAACGAGTTTGAGCAGAATCCAGTGGAGCTGAGGGATTTGTAAACCCAGATCATGTTCTGTAATCAAGTTAGGACAGAATCAGGATTACCCTTTCATTTATTTTGTCATTTAATATCATAACTCTGTTACTAGTTAGGCTCCTCCCCAACACCGGAAGTGTGATAGATGTTTCAAAACAAAGAGGATAGCTTTCTTTGCTCTCTGGGATTTGTTCAAATCCGCATGCTGTTCTGACAGTTTAATATGACTGGCCAACTTTAAAGCTGCATTAATACATTTTTAAACACTAGGGGGCAGAAAACTGCCAAAACAAGCTGATGGATACACAACTGCAAGCATATCATGTCCCGCCACATATTTTCAAATTCGCAATGGATATGGATTTTTTTTTTTGTGCTTTGAATGTATATAGCTGGCCTGAGTGCAACGAAAGCATCAAAAAAGACTAATAGAGCTTGTTTATCAAAATGAGAAATGCCAATGGGTCTAGGCTATGCCCCGAATGTGTGTTATGCGTTTACTAACTGGGCCAGGCCTCTTGTCATTTTACAAGAGTGCCCCCGGGGCAAAGCAAACTGAATATCCCTGCAGTAGAGGGCCTCACTGGTCGACTTCAGACCAGGACCTGAGTTGGACCGAGTCCAAGTTATTATCCATGTAAATGTATTAGAGCTCAGCTCCGACCCAATTAGATCATGTGATGTGTCTTAATTGTGTGAGAGGAATGTGATATATAATGCAAGACAGAGACTTTCTATACAATATTGTACAGCCCAGGTTTAAGTTGTGAATTTGACTCAGTTGCTTTAGAAATGTTGACTTTAGTGTCCAAATAGCTTGGGTTAGTACGTTCTTACTGTTAAACTGTGCATTTGTCCTTCCACATCCATGTAGTTCACTTCTTTAATTTCCTCATCTTCCTACCAGGAGGAAGAGTATCCCAGCCTGTTGACAACCAGATTTCTTGGCTGCATTTGGGATTGTGAGTTATAAAAGCAGAATAACTTTCAAATTTATGCAAGTCTGACTATGTCAACAAAGCAAGCAGGATCTCTGGATACAACACACAGAGGGAGAGTGACGTCATTCTCTGCTGAGGTAGCCATAACTCCACTAAATCTTTACATTGCAAATAGTCTTTGCTGCTCTTAATCCCGAACACATTGCACCATTAACATGTTTACAAATGAGTCTGCAGGAGGCGTTAAAGACATAGGCTTGCCTTCATTTCAAACTAAAGCTTATTGGTGCTGTCCCTCTTTATGTCAGTGTTTAGTCAGTGAAAAACAGTCAGTGTTCTTATATTTATACTGAATGACAAATCAGACTGAAACAATCTCTATTTTATTTTGAAAAAAGCATATAACACATTTCTGTAAACCATAGATCCATACTTAATGTGGAAACTGTTAACATGTTTTATCTTCAACAGAAAATAAAACCAGTGGAAGTACATCAACGCATTGCCCATTGAGGAGCAGTATTTAATACATTTAGAAAGTGTTGATGTAAAAAGACACTTCCAAACCAAGAGTGTATTGTTTGGTTAATCAGAGTCATCTGTAATATCATCTTGATCCACATCTTCCTCTCTGTTGACTGTCTTGCCTCCCTCAGAGTCAGTCCCCGGGGCCTAAAGAAAAGCACATGAGAAACCTTTGGCAAACATGCTCAATTAAAGCCGTGAACCAGCATCGAGGAGAAACTACGTAACATGGGGTCTCGGAACTGACATCAGACCTGTTCCCTGTTAACTGTGTCGGCCACTAATCATTAGCGTGCTACAGAGCTCCAACAGTTATCTTATCAGCCCTTTCCAGTTTCCACTGCCTGTTGAACTGTTTGGTTTGAACTTCACAAAGTAACGACCTACTCAGCAGCAGTGGAAGCACGTTGTTTGGCTGACAGTATTATTACTGTGTGCTGCTTATACCTTCAAATAAAACCTTTTAGCTACTTTGTGCTTATTTACACATTAATCTGTTTTGTATTTACTTACATTCATTGTTCAGTTTAATGAAAAAGGTTTTATTACGTTTTTTTCTCTTTCTCCCTTTGTTTACAACGTACACTCCCTGATTTTTGGGTTTGCCGCTGAATCTCTCAAATTTCCCAGGTTGTTGTTGTTGTTTTGAAAGACACCACAGTTAACACTAGTTATAGTATAATGAGTGTAAACACATTGTCAATTGTAATTGCATTGTTAATACATGTTGGTCTCTATAGTTTTTCACCATTTTGATAAGTTTTGTTAAATGAATTCTTGGTCAAGTTACTGCTGTTTGGACTAAACTCTCGGCCATGTTGTCTAAAATGTTACAGAATAGAAACTTTCCATCCAATCCTCTTCCCGTATCAGATGTGAACACAATGCCTGAACATGGCAGGTACCTCATCCTCTGACTGGTCCTGAGGCAGCGGGGAACGTTGCTCCTCCTCCTCCTCCTCTTCATCACTTTCTTGTGACTGCTGAGAAAGAATCTCTTCACCCTGCAGCATATATTGTTTGTTTACTGCAAGTGGACAAACATGTACAGAGACACTTACAATAAGTTCAATAATGTTGTACCTTCAGGTTGCGATTCTTCAAGTTGCCAATCCGAAATGCCTCCTGACAGTTGTTGAGCGACAGCATGGCCTTCACTCTGTAAACAAACAGCTCGAGGCTCTTCTTTAAGGCTGGTACGTGATTGGTCAGGCTTGTATCCTGTTGAATCTGAGCACCAACACATTATGACAGGGTTACTTAGTTCTAATTTAACAGGAATATTCATTACATTTTGAAAGATTTGGCACCAGTACATGTAGAGAGATGTCTCCAACTAAAGCAATTAGAAATGAATGAGCTAAAAAAACTGTGTGAACTGTGGCTACCTTAGAATATCCACACATGTGATGGAGCTGCCGGGTGCTGAGCTGGAAGGATTTTAGCAGGCCCTGGACATCCTCCTTAAAAAGGCAAAGCATCACACAGAGTCACCCCAATGTCAGCACTTCATTATCTCCGCCAGAAGTAATTACATCATGACAAATATTTAAGAGGGCGGTCGACATTTCAAAGGCCATACTTGTACAACATTTCACAATTCCACGTTCAGCTTGATATGACATTTACAAGCTGTAGTAGGTGACACCATCTCATGCGTACCATGTGCCTCTTGAAACTGTTGTCCAGTAGTGGCATCCCCAACTTCAGGAAAGACTCCAGGAAAAGGCGGCCATACTGGCAATAACATTATAATCAGTTAATACAGAGTCACAGCAGAAAGAACTCTTTCTCAGCACTCACAGCCAACTCACCTTCAGGCACACATTGAGCACCGGCCTAGAATCAAACACCTGTGGAAAGAGATTAGAGCACAAATACGTGAGCAGATGAGCCTAAGACTAACAAATGCATAAAATAGATGGGATAAAACTGATGAGATTGCTTATCTAATTAAACCGAAAACTACTCAAGATATGACCCAATACTGGACTGAATGCTGGAAATCGATGAGGTTAAATGTGATAAATCAGTTCAAAAGACATTCACAGCCGTTAGATCATGATGCCAACAGACCTTCACTAGGTCGACCAGCACATGAAGATTTTTGACAGCCAGGGTCCATGTCAGCAGCTTCTCACTCTGAGCCTGAAGGAGAACATGGGTCACATGTTTTAGTAGTTAAAACACACAGACACTTACATATAGTTAGTTATGCACAAAAAGGCACTAGACTCATTCTCAGAGAACACAGTGTACGAACACCCGATGGCTGACCTCAGTGTTGTCACTGACTTTGCCAGCAGGAATCTTCCTGATGGCCTTTTCCAGCTCTGCCATCAACACTTTGTAGAACACCAGGAATGTGTGCCTTAAAAAAATGGAAGAATTTACGACATAAATAATACAAATATGGATAAATAAACTCTTTAATGTGAGTATTGATTTACTGTTATCACAGTTAGAGTGCTGGATGGCAGGAGCACATGAATCAATCCAACTGCAATCTGCTACTTTTGTATGATCACTAACTCACAAGCGGCCTTCCATTTTGCCCTGAGACCACTAAGCACGATGAAGTGATGGTGGTTTACCTGTTGAGAGTGGGCCATGATGCAGAGCTCTCATCTTTTGAAGCATTGATGAGCTCGGGGATTCCCACTACAGTTATTTCCTCCACTGCCTTCAGGACATCGTCGACATGCTCCAGGTAGATTCTGCAGAGAGGAGAAAAGACAAATAAATGTTTCTTCAAAAGGTTCTTTAGAGATGATGCAAATGATACAAATTAATTTAAAGTATTTTGATGAATGACCTTTGCTTATTAATAATTTAATTAGTGTGAATGATTTACAGAAGCTAAAAAATAAGTTTTTGTTACTTTCCATCAATTTTGTATGCAACTTTTTTTTTCTTTTGTGCACAATTGATTTCTGAAAAGCAGACACACCTCAGGAGAGTATGAAGTGCCTCATTGAATTTGTTCCCTCGCTCCCTCACTCCGCTGGCTGTCACCCAGT